AAAACCATTTCTTAGAAATAAGTGCTTTTTCCAAAAGCACTTATTTTCAGAATCACTTTTCCAAAAATCAACTCTCTCTCTCTCTCTCTCACTACTAGAAATGTTGTATTTAGCCTCGGTCATTTTCCGACACTATAAGGCAAAAAACCGCCGCTACTAGCCAATTAGCCTCGGCGTAGCGTCGGTGTCGGGGATAGGCTAAAACGATCGAAGCTAACATTTAGCTTCAGCCAAAAAGAGCCGTGTCTACAGTAGCCTCGGTCTAGCCGTGTCTACTTTAGCCTCGGTTTAGCCGTGTCTACATTAGCCTCGGTGAAGCCGTGTCAAAAAACAAAAATAGCCTGGACCTGACCGAGGCTAAAGTCAAACTCCATAAGCTCACATAATATTTAGCCTTGGTTCTGGTCGAGGCTAAAGGAACATTTTGCCTCGACCTTTTCGAGGCTAAGTTTAAACTTTATAAGTTAACAAAATATTTAACTTTGGCCTAACCGAGGCTAAAGTCAAATTGTAAAAGTCAACAAAATTATGCCTGCTTTCCAATTGTATAATCTATATATGCTGACCATGTTTTCCAATAATGACAATCATGTCATGTCGTGTTCTCCTTCAATCAATTTATCAAAACATATAACACATATGAAGTAAGAGTTATTAAAATATAACATAGATTGAAACAACAACAAAAAAAAGTAGTCATAGCTACAACAAAAAACAACCCCAAAAACTTGGAATACATTAAAAATCATATCCAAAAAAATTTACATCCGAGACTACTTCTACTAAAACTGCATGATCAATCTTCACTTAATGATTGGGCATCTAAATCATCATCAGAGTAAGTATTTGAAGATCGAATGACAACACTAGAAGATTGACCATTTGTAGGGTCAAGCTTCTGCATGATAAATGCCTTCAAAGCATTCAGTTCAGACTCCATCTTCTTAACAAACTCGTTAGACGCTTGATATTGTTCGGTTGCCTTCTGAGCAATCTCATTTGACGCCTGAATAGCTTTGGTAGCCCCTTCGAGTCGAGCTGATGTAGTTGCAGCCAATTGTTCAGCTCTAATTCTAGATGCTCTCTCTGATCCAAAGGATGTCCCAAACATAGATCCACGAGAATTTTGAGGTTGTTGGATAAAGGATGTAGATCCATGCTTCAGATTGATAGCTAAATCCGCTGTTCCATAAACCCGACCATGACTACGACCCCCAGCAGAATTTGTCCATAATTTAAAAACGGTCCCTCCATCTAACCTCTCGACATCATCTCCAGCTTTTTCCTTACAAGCTCAAGCGCTACATCAACATGAGCCTTACGACCTGAGGTGTGGACTGCTCCTCCTCTTGCTGAACTTCGATTGGCCTTGTTTTGAGAGGACAATTTCAAGAACGAATCACTCTTCCAATAAGTTTTAAGCTCATTCCAGGCATCCTCACCAATCCATGAAGGAAGGGTCCCTTTTAACCTCACCTTCCTCATTATGTCATTTAGTCGAATGGCTGCCTTTGAATAAAAGGCTTTCTTGACAAACATCTCATATTGAGGATCCCATGAAACCTTGTCCTGAAATATATAATTAAGTAAGGTTACATTGCTGCATCATCCATAAAAGGATAACCTAAACACTAATTGACAAGTTTATTGTAGTTTTTGATACAAAGTCGCTACCGAAAGTTAAACTACAACAGTAGCCAGTGAAGTTTGAGTTAGTTTTATCAATGTTTTCTAAAACAAAAAACTTTTTTTTGGTAGTAGTGTTTTCTGCTCCGACGGTAGTCGATGTTCAGGTGATTGATCTAGTTGTTGTTGTGTCGATCTTGGGCTGTTTCTTGTAATTTTAGGTGTTGTTTTATTTGTTTTTTCATGCTCTATTTCAGTCCTGAAGCTTGGTAATTCACATTTCAACATTCAACACAACTAACACCATAATTATATTAGTTTCTAAATTCACATATTACGTTCCAAATTAACTAACACATTATCACCAGCTAGCATTTAACTGATCTAATAACATAACAGGTTTTAAGCTTTCACTGACCTCATGACTCCAACTGGTTTCTAACTATCATCATATCCTAACCAAAGCAATCCTAACTTTTAAATAAGTCATAATAGGAAATGCAACACAAAATTAACGTAACTGAACTGACTCGTTTCATTTAACAGAATTCTAAGACCAAATTGAATCAACTAATTCACCCTCCAGCTATGATTCAAGCAAGCTAACAACTTAGCAGAATTTTCAGTTTCACATTACAGCAAAAGTGGTGCAAACATGTTAAACGCTGGTTACAATAAAGGAACTGGGTTAAGTGTTGAGATAATTGGAACTTTTGTTCTTGTTTACACCGTTTTCTCTGCCACCGATCCAAAGAGAAATGCTAGAGACTCTCATGTTCTAGTACGTTACGTAAAGTTCACTTTAATCTTCTATTTTTTTGTCGTTTTATTTTGAATAATTAAAGTGCTATATTTGTGTAGGTTTTGGCACCGCTTCCAATTGGTTTTGTTGTGTTTATGGTTCATCTTGCTACTATTCCAATCACTGGAACTGGTATCAACCCTGCTAGAAGCTTTGGAGCTGTTGTTATTTACAACAATGAGAAAGCTTGGGATGATCAAGTATGCATTAGTTTCTATAATAAATAATTACTAATACTATTTCTAGCTAGTTCTATAGTTCTATAAGTTCTAAGTATGTTATTTGTGTGTAGTGGATCTTCTGGGTTGGACCCTTTATTGGTGCTGCCATTGCTGCAATTTACCATCAGTTTGTGTTGAGAGCTCAAGCAGCAAAGGTTTTGGGTGGGAGAGACCAAGCTCTCTAATTCTTGGAGGGAGAGACCAAGGCTCTCAAATTTCTAGGATTAGTTTATGTATGTATTATGTATTCTCTATAGTTTTTGTAATTATGTGTCTGTTGTAAACATATTCTATCATAAATAAAAGTCAGATTCTACCATTAATTTGTCTTTTGGTACCGATTTCTATCAGAGTGCTTACAAAATAGAAGGTAACATGTGTTTTTGTCCTTAATGCTGAGGCTTTTAGACAAAATTCAATAAATACTTACCGCAAAAAGAGTAAACCATTTTTCTTTGACATCATCAGAAACTGCTGTCCAATTATAGAAACCCCTATAAAATTGTTTGTGTATCGCATAATTAATGGCATTTGCTACTTCTTTTTCCGGAATAAGCCTACAATATTGAATGAAACCAATGATGTCATATGATATAATGTTGAAACCAATGATAATGTTGAAGCCTGTTACAATATTGAATAAATATTTTAAACTTACCCGCTACCACAAGTTTGTATAATAACCTTCCCATTATCATCCCTTATTATCAAATGAGGGGGAACATTACCTTCACCCACGACCACCTCATCCGCGTCCTCATCCTCAATTTCATCTTCATTTTCCTCCATATCTCACATGAGGCATTATCTAGAGGGACAACCACATTTTGAATGTTTAAACCCGGAGTAGGCATAAACCTAAATACCTCAGAGGTAGAGGCATGATTAGGTGCAGATGACAATGTAGTCTGCAATGATGGTACAGCGTGCGGCACATGTGCAGTCCGCGGGACCGGTGCAACCCGCACTGGCAATGGATTTGGAGCAGGTGATGGAGTCGAAGCAACCGAGGGAGTCAGAGACAACAATGGAGTCAGAGCCGACAATGGAGTCCGAGTTGGTGGAGTCGGTGCTGTAGTAGCTTGTGATGACTGAACAAATGTAGATTTCTTTCAAAGCATGCTATTCCGATTATCAATAAGCTTTTCAGGTGCTAAGCACTTAGATTTTCCTTTTTTTGGATTTTCCTTTCCTCTCTCACCTCCACTTCTGTTAGTCATCTGTTGTCATAAAATACAAAAAAAATTAGACAAAAATTAAACAAAAACAATTACAATCAAGCAACTAAACAGCCAACGACTAGGAGTTGAGAATGGCGAATGAGGTGAGTCAAGTCATGACAGAAACATTTAGTCTTTTGTTCAGAGTTAGTGTGCTAGTTTTTCTACTGTGTATTTTGAAATTAGTTTGAACTGTCATGGAATGTGGTTCAGATGTATGTTTTAACTGTTAGCAGTTTGAAATGTTTAGTTAATCTATTAACTAGTGAAATTGAGGAAGTGCTAAGTTTCACGATGCTTGGGCTGTTAGTAGGTTTCAACAAGCTGTTTTTGTATTGTGTATGTCATGTGTATGCATTGAATGTCATGACTGATAGCAACCCTAGGGTAAGATAACAACCAGTGATGCATTGAATTTCATAACTGTATGCATTGAATTTCATAACAATTACCAATTCTAAATGACAGTTGCCAAACACAAACAACGAGAACAAATTTAACAACATAACCCTATTTCCCTAGTGGCAGTCACAAATTTAACAACATAACAAGCTTTCCATTTATAAAATAATACTCAACATGAATTTTCTCCCTTGAAATTTCTATGCCAAGACGGATAAGTTCCACCTGGTTCAAGGCATCATCGAAGAAACCATGCATCATCATACAATCACTCTCGACAATTTTCACATGCTGATAATGCAGGGACATTATAAAATATTACACTTTTATTAAATTAACCCTATTAATATCTTAAAAGTAATATAGAAAAGATTTGACAGCAACTGGGCGTGGATTTATCGTTCGTCATGAAAAGTTTGCAGACAATTACAGGATGTACTCTAGGAGTCACTTTGTCAAAGGGATTGAGCTCACAATATTGCTGATCTATTATATGATTTATGGATCAACAACACCTAACTTAGCAGCATATGCTCTTCTGTCATGCCAATGTGGTTTTTTGTTTGCTCTTGGTTGTTTGCTCCTTTCCTTTTCAATCAATCAGGATTTGAATGGCAAAAGATAGTTGAGGACTGGGATGATTGGACTAAATGGATTAGTAATCGAGGTGGTATTGGTGTTCCTTGAAACAAGAGTTAGGAGTCATGGTGGGATGAGGAACAAGAGCATATGCAGCACACTGGCATTATAGGGAAGATTTGTGAGATTATTCTTTCCATGCGTTTCTTTATCTATCAGTATGGGGTTGTGTATCATCTCAATGTAGCCAGAGGTGACAAGGGTATCATGGTAATTAAGCATGCTAACTTCATTTTATTTAGTGTTGTCATAGTCAAATCCTCCCTCCCCCATAGTTTCCTGACATACATTTTCTCTTCAGGTTTATGCCCTATCCTGGATAGTAATAGTAGCTGTCATGGTTATCTTGAAGGTACGTATACGAGGATCAAAATGTTCATTCTGAATAAAAGCTTTTTTTTTTCTGCATATGCTTGATTGTGAATCTATTAACTGGTGGCGTCTGAAATTGCAGATTGTGTCCTTGGGTAGAAAGAGGTTCAGCGTAAATTTCCAGTTTATGTTTCGTCTTCTCAAAGTGTTTCTGTTTATTGGAGCCGTTGTTTGCCTTGCCCTGATGTTTACTCTGCTTAGCCTCACTGTCGGAGACATCTTTGCCAGCCTTTTGGCCTTTTTGCCAACAACATGGGCAATTATACAGGTACTTAAGTCTCTTTATTCATTCCCGTAATGCAAATACGAATGTAAAATCACTTGTTTCTAACGGGCGCGCGGTGTTTTACTATGCAGATAGCACAAGCATGCAGGCCATTGGTGAAAGGCACTGGAATCTGGGGGTCTGTTAAAGCTTTAGATAGGGGCTACGAATATCTAATGGAAGTGGTTATATTTACACCAGTGGCCATACTGGCATGGTTCCCATTTGTTTCAGAATTCCAAACTAGGCTTCTGTTCAACCAAGCATTTAGCCGAGGACTTCAAATCCACCGCATTCTGGCCGGTGGCAAGAAACACAAGCAAAACTAAATCAAGCCTTTTCTGCAACGTTCAGCCTGACTTTGTAGGGTATATTGCTATCCTATTAGTCCTAACTCTACCACAGCAGTATACAGGTTCAAAAAAAAAATTGGTTTGTGCTTGTCAATAGAACAATTCTTGCAACCAGTGCATATAAAATCTTAAATAATGATGAGAGAAGTATATCATAAGTGTTCTAAGACTGTAACTAATCTCTCCCATCACTCTGATTCTCCTTTTTCCATGTGAAAGCTATAGAATTGAATATCAAATTCTTGCAACACACATATTATAAGAATCACCCTCTGTTGTAGATTTGACAGCAAAAGCACATATACAGGAGAGCCAAAATCACCCACCTACATTACTCCAAAACCTTCCCCCTAATTCATGAGAATATTATAAAAATACACACAACAAAACATATTAGAAGTATATTTTAGGTCGCACTCTGAGGACCATGCCTCTGGCGCATCAAGAACCATGTCGCTCGCACTCTGAGGAGTAATCACAAGGTGTAATCACAATGCTCCTATAATTCAATACCCTTTTAGACTTCAAAATATTCAACCTCAAAATTATACTTCTAATAAGGGATTAACTTTTCTATATTAATCAAACAAACAACTAAATAAAAATTAGAGTGTGAATTATTAAACCTAACAACAACACAGACAAAAGCAGGGGATGAATCAAAAAGTTCAATTCAGTTGAGAGCGAGGATTGTGTTAAATCTTAGTTAGTGTTGGAATTAGAAATTCATGAGTTGAATGCAAAACATCATAATCGCATAGCTTTTCCCTAAGTGGCTAATTCCATTTTCTTGCATGAAAAACATAACAAAATCTAACCTTAAAATGGCAAATAACACAAACAAATTGATTCTATCTCTGCGTCTTTTCTCTGCTTGACTATGACTCTTGGAAGAACTTGCAGCTCTATCTTCTAAACTTCCTTCAACAGGTAAAGGCTAAGACTGAAACTCACTACATTGAAAAAAACAGACAAAGAATCAGAGATAGTTTGAGGTTGAAAAGAAGCAGAAGAAGAATCAGAGACCAATAAACCCACTCAGAAGAATCGATGATCTTGAAGATGAAAACAAAGAGATGATCTCTCAAGGACCATACAAAATCGATTTTGTTTGATTTTAGGGGTTTTTTTCTTCTGAAAATGTATTTGGTTTAATTTTAGGGTTCTCTGAAAGGAATTAAGAGGGAAACATGAAAAATAAGGTGGGAAATAGTTAGTCTCGACTCATCCGTGTCTATCAGATAAAATAAATATATTCGAAAAAAATAAAAAACGTTAGCCTCGGCTGATCCGTGTCTATCAGATAAAATAAATATATTCGAAAAAAATTAAAAACGTTAGCCTCGGCTCATCCGTGTCTAATATTTAAAAAAAAATAGAAAAACTTTAAAATGGGGGATTTTTTGCGTTTAAGTAGCTTCGGTATCATCAAGGCTAGTTAGCCTCGGTGTCGGTGGCCGAGGCTAAGTTCGCAGCTTAAAATAGTTAGCCTTGGCTAGACCGTGTCTAATATTTAAAAAAAATAATTCAAAAATTAAAAAAAATCTAGCCTCGGCCTAGCCATGTCTAATGAATTAAATAAAAATAATTGTAAAAGAAAAACTTTAAAATGACTTTTTTTCCGTTTGAATAGCCTTGGTTTTGTCAAGGCTAGTTAGCCTCGGTGTCGGTGGCCGAGGCTAAATTCGCAGCTAAAATGAAGTTTTCTAGTACTCTCTCTCTCTCTCTCTCTCTCTCTCTCTCTCTCTCTCTCTCTCTCTCTCTCTCTCTCTCTCTCTCTCTCTCTCTCTCTCTTAGAACAGATGTTGCCTGATTTGCTGAGGTCGAAAAATAAGTCGAGAGCTGGCTTCGACTTTGTCGTTGCCCTCCTGACGTACCCAATGTTGATATCAAGCTGAGGGTATCGGAACCACTTCTCTAACCGTTTTAAAAATGCTTGTTTTGTTGTTGATTTTGTTTTACAGGTTCAGAGAAAATAAAAAATCGGAACTCGAAGGATTGGCATGAAGACCCTCTTAGAAATAATTAGGACTTTCTTAGAAATTTTAGGCATTTTCTTGTAATAAAAGTTATTGTGACATTGTAATAAATACAAAAATTGAATAAAAATCCAATTATTTTCACAATTGCCTTTCTCGATTACGAATTCCGCTTTCAATTTCCGATTAAAATCCCCGAACTAATTCGTCCGAATAAATTAACTTAATTGAATTCCTCCGACTCAATTCTTCCACATAAACTCAAACAATTAAATTTAATCGGCTAAGCTCTTTCAATAAAACTTAAACAAATAAATTCCTTTAATTGAAATACATCCGACCAAATTTCTCCGGATAACTCAACCGATTAAACTCGCCTGATTTAGTTTATTATATTAAATGCACCAGAGAATTTATCCAATTAAAAATCTCCCAATTAATTCATCCGCTTCCGTCGTCCAACTAAATCCACCCGATCAAATTCATCTCTTGCAAACCAATTCGTATCCGATATTAACGGTGAGTATGGCCAAAATTCCACTGTTCCTTCAAAATGGACTGGTAACTAGCAGAAAGCAGGAAAACACACATCTTTCACAATAAATTCTTTAAATCAAATCTTCGCACTGATTTAACGTTGAAATTGCCGTAAAATTCCGCTCATCATCAAATAAACCCCATGACTCGGAGACGAGTGCACTGTGTAATTTTTCCTGCAAAACCAACAGACTGAACAAACCGGTTAGCGGTTAGTTAAAAATTCCATGCAGAATGAGATGACGTGCGAAATGAACCTAATAATCTCGGGGAAATATTTGGGGTATTACAGGAAGCATCACAAAATTCGGTTCTAACCCAACTGGGTCGAAAAACATAAAAGACCTGGCCCAAAACTAAATATTTCTAATGGCAGATTTTAGGTCCTGACTTCAACAAATTATTTGAGTCTTCTACACTTCGAATCAGCTTCTTCCTCAAACATGAAAGTTGTAGCTCTCTGTCTTAGCTTTCCAACACCTATTAAAACACTCAAATCAGATTCTCATAGCTCCAGTTATGATCCAAACAGTGAACATATATCAAATAACCGCTAAAGCTGAAAATAAGCTGGGAAAATAGATTAAAGGAAAACAAAGACTTAATTCTAAAAATATAATAAAACAGTAAAATAAACAAAACAAACTAAGTAAATTCCTAATTAAAAACATAAGAGAATTTGCATTAAGATGCAGTGAGCACCACACTTGGGAACTAATCAAGAAGCCTGCTGGATCCAGATTAGTCAATTGTAAGTGGATTTTCAAAGTTAAGGAAGGAATCGAAAGAGTGATGCCAAAGATATACAAGGCAAGATTGGTCGTAAGGGGTTTCACTTGTAAAGAAGATGTCGACTTCAATGATGTGTTCTCTCCTGTTATGAAGCACGTGTCCATTCGAATGTTGCTTGCCATGGTGGCACAATTTGACCTAGAAGTGGAACAAATGGATGTGAAGATTGCTTTCTTGTATGGAGATCTAGATGAAACAATCCTGATGAGGCAACCTGAAGGGTATGCATAAAAGGGAAAGGAAAATTATGTGTGCAAACTGAATAGATCTTTATATGGACTGAAACAATATCCTCGACAGTGGAATAGGAGATTCAACAAGTGCTTGGCACACATAGGTTTCATTAGAAGTCAGTTTGACCACTATGTTTACTTCAGATTTCGACCTAGAAATTCATTTATTATTTTGTTGCTTTATGTGGATGATATTCTTAGAGCAAGAAATAATGTCGAGGATGTAATGAAAGTGAAGGATGAACTCAATAAGGAGTTTAATATAAAGGGTTTGGGAGTTGCATTCAGGATTCTTGAGATTGACATCTAGAGAGATAGAAAGCAGTCGAGGTTATGCTTATCTCAAGAGGCATACCTAAAGAAGATTCTCGACAAGTTTGGTATGTCAAATTTAAAGCCAGTTCTAACTCTGACAAATCCTTAATTCAAACTGGAAAGGATCACTGGAAAATCCTAACATAGTAGAGATTATGTTATATGAATAGCATGACACATGCTAACATAGTAGGTTCTTTGATGTATGTTATGGTTTGTACTAGACCCGACATAACATATGCATTAAGTATTGTAAGCAGGTACATGGAAAATTGTAGAAAGGATCACTGACAAGCATTGAAGTGGATTCTAAGGTACATAAATGGGTCTCTGAACAGAGTCTTGATTTATGGTAGAGCATGTGGTAAAAATAGTAAAGTAGAAATCGAAGGGTATGTCGACTCTGATTATGTAGGTTGTACGGATTCCAGAAAATCTATTTCTGGATATGTATTCGCTATGTTTGGCCCAACTATTATTTGGAAAGCAACACTTCAAAAGGTTGTTTCATTATCAACCACTGAAGCTGAATATATCGCCTTCATTGAAGCTGTGAAAGAAACATTGTGGCTTGAAGGTTTTGCTAAGGAGCTGAAACTTCAAGGTCAAGTTATCTTTGTTGAATGTGATAGTCAAAGTGTTATACATATGTTGAAGAATTCAGCCTATCATGAGCAAACCAAGCACATCAATATGAGATTGTATTTCGTCAAAAGGATAATCGAGCATGGAGAAGTCCAAGTGCTGAAGGTTCGGCAAATAAAAATGTTGTTGATATGATTACCAAGACATAACCATGTTGCAAGTTCTTCCATTGTATGCATTTGATAAATTTGCACGAAGAAAGCTAATTTGTTCCCTTGCTATTATAGAGTTTTATCTAGGGTGGAGATTTGTGAGATATTGGATCGAACTTTAGTATGGTTGAAGGGTAGCTTCTTAGTTCGACAATTCGAAAGAATCTTAACATGTTGTCAAAGTCTGTTCACATGTTATAGTCAAAGTATTCTAGGAGTGTTAGCATGTAGAATTGGGCCTTGGTTGTAATCCCAATTGTTTAAGTTAGCTTGTTCCCTAAGTTAGCTTATATAATGGGCCTATGTGTAAAAGCTCATTAGGT